TTGTGTTCACTCCCAGGGGAACTACTTCGAGGGTGATGGATGAATTTAATACCTGAGATAAGTGTACGGGTTTTTATACGCGCAGTCTTAAAACTTTCCGATCGCACCTCGTACATATGAAATATTTTTAACCGATATCATCTCCTGTCGATCTATCGATATCAACTGTTATCAATATCATTGATATACTAAATTAATTCTATCGTATTGGCAGGATCTTAATTAAACAGCTGATAGTCACTAAGCTGGTAAATAAATTTTCGCTTGTATGGTACCAGAAAGGTCGTTACCGCGTTTACAGAAGATATTCATAGGATCGTCTACTGAGACACTTTGGTTCAACCCCTGAGAATGATTGCTCCGTGAATTTGCTTGGCTAAAACTATACAATATCTGCCGTTGTACGATCCGCCAATGTTATCCTCGCAGTTTAATGCTAACAAGAATGATTTATTTGTAACTGCCCTTATCGATAACCCTTAAACCCACGCTCTGCATACCTAAGAACAGCAAACGAGTTTCTCAACAGCCAATCCCAGCCTAGATTCAGAGTAGCTGTTCCCCATATACGGTCGTTACTCTCCATTACACAAACCAAGCGGTAAGTGAGGTTATTTAAAACCGATTCGCTGTAACAACGGCACGAACGTAAATCTTCGAGACCAGTACCGATAAAATGGCGGAATCCTAGTGGCTGTCAGCTGGGGAACTATAACAAAGCTAGGTTCACAACATATATTCGCTTCCTACAACAAAACAACAGAAAATTAGGAAAAATCAAACTAACAGTGTGTGCGTGTGTCATTAAACACTGACTTCTAGAATTTCGCAAATCATCTTCCTTAAAATCTTGTTAGTTCACCAATTGTTTGAGTCAATGACCTGTCCACGCTTTGATCCACTTTGCAGACGCCGTTGACGAAGTAAATGATTCATATCGTATTTTAATTTTTTCTGTTCTTGGAGACTTCAATGATGGATAAAGAAGTGAACCATTATGCTTTGTCCAGATGTTTAAAGCTTCTCGTGCAGCAATGTTGAAGGTATGAAAGAGCATTTTAAGTGCAAGTCGTTATACGTAAGGTATTTTAATTGTTTGTTCCCAATGATGATAAAGTCGGCAGAGGGAACCTAAATAAGTTTTCTTCATTATCAGCAGTGACAAGAGGAAGGCAATTTAAAAATCTTTACACTGACAGGTCTCTTAAAATTCTCTGGAATTTTAACACGAAAGAATTGTGTGTCCGGTATTAATATCACGTTTGGTGATAACGATGATGATGGATGGATGCAGTAAGCACCTCTGAAACGTCCGTCAACTTCTACCAGAATGCAAAGCGCAAAATCTCATAAGACAGATATGTTCTAAAAAAGAAATTTTGCTGTTTTAGCCCTGAGAAGAATTACACGCTTATACAAACGCAAGCGACCTTCACCTTCGTCGTACACTTTCGATGGTCTTGTCTATCCTCACATATTCTATCTCGTCTCTCAGGGAGTCACACAAAGAAAACAGAATAATGGCTGTTTGTACATTGACTCTCATGTTAAAAAGGCGTTCTTTATTTATTTATTTATTCCTTGCACGAAGAACATAAAACGAACATAAACATAGACCATGCATGTCCATCAGTCAGCATGTTCTAACTCCAAACAATACCGAACGAAATTTAACGAAATTCGGTTTAGTAGATTTACACTGAAATTCGAAAGAGAAAATTAATTTTGGTCTTTATCAGTAAAACAAGACCCGAAATTTGTGAGACCGCTTTAAATAGATTAAGGGGTCTATAAATTTGAATCTGAGGTCATAAATATATACATATCAGTCTGAAAATGGCCAAAGGTAGAAAGTTTCAGTTATGGCGGCTTCGAGCATTTAATAAACGCTTGAATTGTTGTGAGGTCACTGGCTTCTACTTTTCTAGCCATGGAACGTTGATCAGGGTCGTGTGAAGACTGAGGTATTTCTTGTGGCTTGAGACGAGAGAGAGAGAGAGAGAGAGCGCTCTAAATCTGTTATTCAACTGGTTATGAGCGCCCGGAGCGTGGAAATCCGTCATCACGGGCTGCAACGACTGTTGTATTTTGCAGATGTCTGCAAAATACAAGCAGTCAGTATCAAATTGAATTTTCTTAAAATCTCAATCAAAATTTCCCCAAGAGTTCATCTCGACCGAAACTGTTGGTAAATGAAGACGTCTGTCTTCTGGGTTGTTACGTCATGCAGTCTGGTAGAAGTTTACCGACGTTTTAGAAGTCCTTGCTTGACTCATCGCCCTGATGATGGAGGCAGCAAGGACTTCTGAAACGTCTGAAAACTTCTACCAGACTGCATGGCGTAACAACCCAGAAGACAGACGTCTTCAGACTCACCACCGTGAAAACCTCAAATCCTACATATGTCGGTAAATGTTGTCAATGTTTCATCTAAGATATTAAAATCTCTGCGATTTCACTAAGACGTATTATTATTATTTGTTGTTGTTGTAGTAATTACGTGATGCCGGAACGTTCTAGAGAATGTGGTAGTTATCTAACAATGCGAAACTTCAGTAGTTAAATAAATAAATAAATAAAATTATTTAATGTGTATAAAACTAATATTATAACACAGCTGATAGTCGCTCAGTTGACTAAGAGATTCTCTTACCGTCATTATAATAATGGTCGCGGAGGGTGTTTGATTACTGCATTCGGGGTTGTTCGGCATTAATACGGATCGACTGTAAGGAGTTGTGTGTCAACCGGTGTGACCAGATTCGAGTAATTGCGCAGTTAGATGAAACTTAACATGGGCGGTAGGAAAGTTTCACTGAAAAGAAAGTTTTTACTGCGTAAACGTGTGATGAGGGTAGTTTGACAGGTGACGTAGTTCTGCAAATCCGTCACGATATTTGACTAAGTAACTGAATTACTGGAAGACAGGAACTTAGTGGGCGTTTGATCGATTTTTTTATGTGACAACCCTCAAAATGTCTTTCAATATCCCAAATAATATTTCTGTAAACTTACGTACTATATAAGTATGCACAATTTATATTACCAGAACTGCCATTCCATAACGTAAGCCAAGCCACGCATTCCGACATTTGACATCGATGTGCCCTCTCAAGGCAGCATGTTGCCATAAAAGCGACTCGCGTGGTAACCTATTTTGGTACTGTCCCAAGTTTGGGAGTCATTGCTCTACCACAGGGTGATTGCAAATGTTTGTCTTCGTGAGATATGAGGTACTCACGGCGGTAAATATGTTCATGTTGCTCTACTGAGCTGTAACGACGTGTGAAATTGCAGGTAGATACTAACGCTGCAGATGGAGGCAGTGTGTTCCTATCTTTACTTTTATACTGGGTTGAATCTACTGTAGAGTGTTCGTGCATCAAGTTTCAACAGTTGGTTCACGAAGCAGAACATCTGACGGTAGCCCAGAAACACAGACACTTGGACGCAACCGGGCAAACCTAATAAGCGTTTCGTTACAGAACGCGGACCACAATGGCGTTCGTTGTGGTTGTAACCTAGATACGAAATGGACCCTTTGGAAAATGCCAGTCACGCAATGGTTCTGCGTCTGGGACAAACGGATCTTGAGTGTGAACGCATTTCGATTCAGGAGAGGGGGGACGCATACACCAGCCACAGAATTCTCCTGCACTGACCAAAAAAAAAACAAATATACTTTACGCTGTAGTAGAATTATGTCCATTTATCGGATATCTGAGGCTGTCACGACGGTGATATCACCGGTCATAACGCTGCTTAGCCTTGTAGGTGGCAATCCTGAAAAGAGGCGAAACACCTACAAGACCACATGGCGTCACAAACCAAAAAACTACGACTGTCATATAAACGTGTAAACCACGAAGGGGTTTCGGAACAACAGAACAGAATAGTGTAAAATGTATATAGTGAACAAGTTTCGCACTTTCAGTAAGCCCTAAAATTTCTCACCGTATTCATTTAAACCCACTATTAGGTACTACGCCCTATATCTCTAAAATACTGTTTAATATTATCCCCATATTAATGTATATTTATACTGAGATATTCCCTTAAGGATTTAAAATACGACCGTTGTATTCGTGATAGATGTCTTTCCCGTCTCATTATCGTGGACATGATCGAATTAATTTATCGACGCTGTTTCAATTTAAAAAGTTGCATAGTGTCCATATCGATTTTTTTTTTTAGTGTTGTGTCTGACGACAGGTCCATATGAACAGGATCCTTCCATCCTTTTCTCGGACTGGGACCTGTTCATATACGTTCTTGGCAGATGATCCAGAAGTGGTTTGCCATTGCCTTCTTCTGTGTGTGAATGGAGTAATTGTTGGGATGCCACGGAGGAAAACTCCGTGTTGTCTAGACCACGGCCTTGCCCAACACAAGTTATAAATTCGAACCCGAGACCCCAGGATTACAAGGCCAGCGTTCTAACCGCTAGACCACCGTGGCGTTCATATCGACTTACGAGATGTAAAAATTGCTGCCGTTAAATCAGGTTAAGGATCTTGAGCAATCCGGTGATAACAATTTGTGAACAACGTAAAGAGTTTCATAAAAGCCCTGAATTTCTTTTTGTTCGCCTAAGCGATTCCAAATTCTTATAAATAATTCGTACAATGTGCCATCAGTGGCGTCGGGAATCAGTTCGCTACTGCAAGCTTACCATTGTCCGGAACGGTAGCACGAATTTCAGCCTTCAGTTCTGCGATCCACACACACACACACACACATTGACAGGCGATGACGTCAGGCCAGGTGTTGGTATGACGTCATTTGTTAACACAATAAATTAACATATGAACGTGAGATTACGATCGTTTTGTCAGTGTCGAACGATGTTGTACCGGTTTACGGAGGTCACTGATACACATCTTGGTTTGTGAAGTATTATCAAAGGTTTTATCGACTGCACTGATTGGTTCTTGGATTATTTTAAAAATTAAAATACGAAGGTTATTAACATTTTGACTTTTTGTGTTAGTTATCGGTTCTGAATCACTGGGGATAATTGGCTGCGTTCAGAAGTTACCAGGAGTTCTGAGGCCCTCCAATGAGCTCCAGGCGACACAGTAACGTAACGCCTACACAGGAGAGAAGGAGAGAGTTTGCACGTAAACAGCAGATCGTGATAACGACGAAATATGGAAATATTTGGCTTCCCAAAACAGATAACCGGAAGTTGAATTCCTGTCCTGGTAAAGGTCAGGCAAGTGTGAGGTCAAATGATGACTCAACACGTCATACGTACTTACGAGGTCAGAGACACGTAGATTCTGCAACACGAACACCAGACGAGCGTTGCTTAGTAACGACAGCTTTGCCAAGGAAGTGGTCCTCATGAATACAAAGTGCATGGGCCAGACCGGGGGCCACAGGGTGATCCCCAAAACTGTATTATTGGGGGTTGGGCAGACCTTAACATGTTTTTAATAAAATGTGGACTAAAGAGTGATATGTTTCAGAAGACCCCCAACTTTAAAGTCAAGGTACGCTATAAAATACAGTTTTTGATGCTAAGATTTTCGGTAGAGTGGTTATTTAAGGGATCTGCCAGGAAGCGATATGAAATGGATCTTAGGGAAAAACAGGTTGTGGGATGGGAGGTCGGTGGAAACGGATCAGGATCGTGTCCAATGGAATTACCGGGTTTTTTCCCCCCAAGACAGTCGTTACGCAGTAAATTATTATTCTTCTTAAGTTCCTCGAAATGTTCTTGAAATGAAATCCTAGCTACCGACAACCGTTTCTGTAATAATTTCGTTTCGGACTCAATTCAAGATGCCTAAAAATCGATTATGAAATTACGACGTAGTTAGAACACAATAGAATAATGCATTACGAAACAGCCAAAAGTATTTTTTTTTTTGCAACAGAATAATGCATTACGAAACAGTCAAAAGTATTTTTTTTTTTTTGTCCAGGAATTTCATAATGACTGCCCAATCATTCCGCTTGATGGATCTCGTGCAACGAGAATTCATTGCAGCTGAAAATTAAATATTGTGTGGAGAACACGTCTCACGCTGATATGCAGATAATACGAGAAGAAAGGAAAACACTTTTAAAGAAAAACGATAAAGTAGAGGAAAACTGAAGACAGAAGGTCCAAACATGGCTGTCTTCTTGGTTGTCAAATCCTACAAAACTCAATTAGAGTACAGTGGGAACCCCCGGGTTCGCAACCCCACACATCAAGTACTTAGGGTACCTTACCTTCGTGTTGTTCTGCGCAGGCGCGTGGTGGTGGTGGCTGATGGGCGTAAGGCATGTTTGTGGCGTGGTGGCTCCTCGCTCTGTGGGTCCTGCTGGCGGCGTGTGCTGAACGCGCGGATGTGCCCCAGTGGCTGGGCAACGTCCTTATGCCCACTGACGGGACGTCACCTGTGCCCCTGCTGGACAGCCAGGACGCAGTTTGCACCTGCAACGAGGTACCCGGCAAGTACGTCACCCTGGATTGACCCCAAGTCTCTCATGACGAAGTAATTACTTTTGCAAACCAAGACGTCAGACGATAACGCTTCTGGTAATGGCGGTAGAAATTATGTTTAAAGTAAGGAATCGACAGAGATTTCAAAATGAATGTTCTGTCGCAGGTTGGTGGTGTGTGATGGGGGTTCGGGCTGCGAGAGGTTCCCGTCTGGCTTCAACACAACGGCGTCAGTCCTTCAGGTGCAGAACACCGTCATCACGACCATCCGCAAAGGCGACCTGGCCAACCTGACGCACCTACAAGAACTCGAAATCGACCACAACAATCGTCTCTCCGTCATCGAACTTGGGACTTTCGAAATGATGGCCTCTCTCATAAACCTCTCTCTGTCATACAACGAAAACCTCACACACCTCGAGGCGGGCGTGTTCGACGGCTTGCATAACCTCAAAGAGCTACGTATGAAGAAAGGTGGATTTTTCGATATGGGTCTGATATCACCAGCGCTGACTGCAATGTCATTGCCCAGTCTTAAGAAACTGGTCCTGGATGAAAACGCGTTCCAGAGAATAGATTCAGAGGACTTGGTCGCTATGAACGGATCCTCCCTGCAACATCTGCATCTCATCGCCTGCCAGTTGGACTTCATCCACCCTTCAGCGCTGGACCCGTTACGTCATCTCCGGGAGTTACTTTTGGGGCAGAACACACTCAACAGTAGTACGATCACTGAACTGGTGTCACACTTGGTAGAAGAATCAGTTCCTCTCAACCTCCTCAGTCTATATGGAATGGGCTTTCTACGGCGTCCTCCGATGAACGTGATGGAAGCAGTTTCCCAGTCTAACATCACACACCTCGTTTTGGCACGAAATCAGTTCCAGAAACTGAAGCCTGGATCATTCCCTCTGATGCCCCGCCTACAGTACCTTGATCTAAGAGAAATTGTGGCCACAGACCTGAAACCTGGTACCTTTTCACCCAGAATCATGCCTGAACTAAAGACCTTACTATTCGGTGGCAACATGCTATCAGGTGTGGTGCCCGGAGTATTGGTCCCACAGCTGGAATCATTAGACCTTTCAGCAAATTACGGGGACCCTCGTACTCGATCCTATTTCGACGTTGGCGAAGGCAGTTTCGTGAACATGACGAACCTCTCATTTCTCAATCTTTCATACAACAATATCAGACGAGTGTCAAGGAATACTTTCACAGGTCTGGAGAATCTAGACAGACATCTTGGGTTGAAGAATGCTTCTATATACCACCTGCAGGAAGGTTCTTTCGAAAATCTGGGGAAACTTCAATTCCTGAACTTGGAATACAACCCATTTCCAAAATTATACAATCTCACAGCGTCAATGTTTCGGGGCCTCCATAACCTTCGAGTGTTACTTCTTAGTGGATGCAGCATCACCTTTCTGTCACCAAATGTCTTCAGCTACCTCCCAAGTCTGGAGTACCTCAGTCTTCGTGACAATGACCTGTCGGTCCTCAGTCCCATCCTATTTACTCCCCTCCCTCGTCTGATCGGCATAGATCTATCACACAACCAGCTTACTTATCCAAAAAATACAAGCTACAGATTATTCGAAAATAACTCCCAACTTGAAGTCGTGTTCCTTTCAAGAAACAAGTTCACATCCCTGAATCCAGTGATGTTGGAAGACGCGGCAGTTCTGACACGTTTGGAACTGTACGATAACGACCTTCTGTGCCAGTGCGCGTCCTTCTTGTCAACGAAAAAGTGGCTTAAAGAACAGAATCTCTCTCTTGTGGACACCCACATCGCTGGTCTTTCAACACTTCGATGTTTCTCTCCAGATGAATCGACGAACAAACCTGTAATTGAATATGTTGATTCTCTTGGGGATGCCTGCGTGTTACCACCTGCTGAAGACCAATTCGTGACTTGGATTGAACAAACCTGTAATTGAATACGTTGATTCTCTAGGGGATGCCTGCGTGTTACCAACTGCTGAAGACCAATTCGTGACTTGGATTACGGTGTTCCTTGTCACATTTCTTGTTTTAGGGTTTGTAGTAGTGGCTGTTGCGTATCATTATCGTTCATACATTCGTTACTGGATATTCCTCGCTCGTATGGATATTCAGAGACGTGGTATCAGAAGAAAGGATTGTGAAGGACATAACGACCACCAATACGATGCATTTTTGTCATACAGCAATGAGGACCGAAACTTTGTGGTGAGGCTTGTGGCTATGTTGGAGAATTATGAACCTTTCTTAAAGCTTTGTGTATACGAACGAGATTTTGAGATAGGGTCGGTAATTTCAGAGTCTGTGCTGCAAAGCGTTGCCATGAGTCGAAGGACGTTGCTTGTGATCAGCGATGCTTTTGCCAGGTCGCAGTGGTGTCGTTGGGAGCTACAAATAGCAGAGAATCATCGGCTGTTTCTAAGGGATGATAACGAGGGGGGAGGAGACCCCCTAATCATGATAAAGTTGGGGCAAGTAACAGAGGCACATATGACCCCAACATTGAGGTACTTACTGAGGACAAGAATATACCTGGAATGGGATTCAGAACCGAGGAAACAGAGACAATTCTGGGACAAACTTCGTACTGCCCTAGCACCACCTCCAGTAAGCATAACAACAACAACAAACACCTAAAGAGTTTTTATAAAGCGTTCTGAGGATGGTGTAATACAATCTGGATTTCTGAGTTTTTGGGATTTGTCCGTCATTTGATATTAAAAAAAGTGTTTTTATACCCAATTATAGGTAAGAGGTGCACGTACCCAGTCGGGTCCATTTGAAAGAGCTAACCTCAGTCATTGGAATAGAATATCAGACAATTGACAAAGTCCAAAA